CGTTAAAGCTTTCAGGTATTACAACAATATCAAATCAAGCACAAATCGCAACTACTCCCCACAACATTAATGTCACCATTTTCCCAGTACACCAATCAGATTTAGGGGAATATATTTGTATGGCAACGAATTCTGTGGGAACCTCAACATCTTCAGCATTTCTGTCCTCAAAATGAAAAATAAATGATGGTAAGATTTTAAAAGATCAAGATGTTTCAAGAACAATTTATTGGTACATGTACGTTGAACATCTTACATCTGTCAATTTCTGCTCGATCATTATTTTGTTACTTAGTCTAACTTTATGATGGGAATTAAGTCATTTTTTTTAAATAATTCTTATTAGAAACGGTGAAAAACATCAAGATTCTGTAAATCTATCGAAGGAAAATATTTATTTGTATATTATTTATATCGGGTTCGGTGTTCAAAATTTAAATGCATTTAAAAACTGTCTTTTTGTAGATATGCTGAGCTATGTCCATCAACTCAGTCGGCTGTACAATTTTTTTAAAATAAATTTGGTACATTATCAGCTCACATTTTATTTTGGTAAAGATGATGGGTGATCAAGCCGAGAAAAATGCTATTGCTTGACTGATTTACTGACTTAATTCCTTATCTCCCTGTGGAGAACCGGTCCATGAACTTGTCTTCTACGTAACATTTTGATCCATCTTTGGCTTTGACAGCAGCATCACTCCACGATTTAAATCCAGGTCGTTTCCTTTCTCTTTCTACGCTTCTTCTCCATGTTTCCTTTGGTCTTTCTTGTCTCCTTCGTTCCTCTGGTGTCCACTTTAATGCTATTCTGGAATGGCTATCTTTTTCTCATTCTCACCACACGTCCTATCCATTTCATCTCCTGAATCTTAAGATTTTACTGATTTTGTCCACTGTTGGCTAATTCTCTTACTCCTGCATTTGTGATGTCCACCTCATATTCTAATTATCGTTCTCAGACACGTATATATGGAGGAAGGTGTCAAGTAGCTTTCCATCTCCTTTGTTCATCTTCCATGTTTCAGCACCATATAACAAAACAGATATTATGTTTGACTTCAAGATGTTCAATTTGATCCTTCTTGAAAGTTGGCTGTTTGACCGTATCTTGTAGAGTCTGTCGTAGGTAACTCTAGCATGACCCAGTATTCTCTGTATCTCCCTGTCTGTCTGTCTGTCTAACAGTCTGTCTGTCCTTCTTTAAACACAGTTACACCAAGACCGACAAAGATGTCATTATCTCCGTTCATATTTCTATTGATTGTTATTTCCTGGTTGTTGAAAACATTTTTTAATATCATTGCTTTTGTTTTGGCAGAATTGATGATTAATTCTGTTGATCTAGGTACGGTGTTCATTTTTTCCATCTTCCGCTGTGTTATAGCTTAGGTGTTATGCGTAATGCCTTATGTGTTATGCCTATGGTTTGACAATAAGAAATTGATAAATCAAATTTCAATATAATACAATTTTCTTTGATATTTCAGTTAACATTAATGTATACTTTCTGTAAAATCTCCACAATTTACAATAATTTCACAAGTGCTAAAATTATTCATGCATGAAATAGTATACACACTCATTTTTTCATACTGAAACACATTTTCGCTCCACTTTTTGAAAGTATATTTTCAAAGTATGATTAAATATAGACATTTTTTGCTTAACAAAAAACATGGAGCAAAAACCCAATCTACCTTTAAAATACACTTCTATGACAAAAAATTGTATCTTTCTGAGAAATATTTGAAATCGTTATTCAAGTGTCACATCACAAACAAGATTTCATTTAAATACCACTACCTATTATGAGTTGTATATGATAGCGTGTCAGACTCCAGGAAGAAAATTTTTATCTCTTGGGGTCAGACTCGAAGAAATCCTTGATTAATTTTTAATTTTATTTTTATTTTTTATTCACTTGAGAAAAATTTTTGCTGAGAGAGAATTTTTCCACAGAAAAGTTTTGTTTGTCATAAATTAATACCGTTCAATAATTAGAACATTGCTCTAAACATTTAGTTCACAAATTAAATATGATTTTTATACATTTGAAGCTATAAGCATTTTACACGCCTTGTTCGCCCATCTTCTTTCCTACAAATCATTTACATACATGTACTTATTTCATTTCATTTCGATGAAATCGTGATAAGATGCTGGCTGTTTCGTTTCTAGGTTGATGACTGTATCCTATCGGTTTATAACTTTATTAACCGTAATATGGCCACAAAAGTGTCTTGGGTACTTCTTATTTTAATGCAATTATTGACATAGCAAACAATTTGTTTACCTTCATTTTTGGTATCTCCTGAATAATCCTTGATAATCGATAGAAAAGTGCATGTTCATACAAAACTAAATAAAGTGCTTTAATTCTTCTTTAAAGAAATCCTCATGGAAAAATTTGCTTGACTGAGTTTTTATACGTTCCTGGTGCATTCAGAATGATGAATATAGCACAGAATCAATTAGCGATCCTTTAGACGTATAAAAACAATTCATCAAGGTTTGTTTAAAGCTTGTGACATCAGCTATTAAAATTGTGATCTTTAAAACATTCCCACTGCCAAGATTGCGCTATTGTTTCCGGATCCGCTTAAGACGAATTAAAACAGTTTGAACTTGCTTGGCATTGATTGAATTTTATTAAACGTAAATATTGTGCAATCATGTGATGCCCCACTCGATCACAAAGTCATTGTTTCTTTTGTGCAAGCAGAATTACGATCCCGACGGCATAAACTAACATTATAAGTTGACAAACGAGACGTATATTGGTTTTTAATAGACTAATTGCATTTACTTAAATTAACACACACTACCACGCAATATTGAAACCATAATGATTGATAGATTACATACATAATTTTTGCAAATGTTGATATTCTGTCATCTACTTAATTCTACACGGAAAATATAAATATCTTATTCAAATCAAAAGAGGTTTGTTCAAAAATTCATTTTCTTGATTTTCTCCTTTGTTTGTTTGAATAAGTACACATCTTTCCCAATTGCTCAAAAGGGTGTTGCTAAAACGCGGAACGGAAAACGGAACGGACAACGGAAAATATGATTCCAGGTTAAATCACTTAAATTATAAAAATCATACCAGAAACGGTATACGTTATATAAATTTTTCATATTTTATCCTTAATTGTTAAAATACGAGTTGATTTAGTCATGTTCATTCTCTTATTCATGAAGATCTCTGAACATAGACAAAGGGTACGGAAAACGGAACAGAAAATATCTAATGCCGTACATATATGATATGTATATCATATATATGTAACATGTTGTGGTAAAATATGGATGAGTGGGAAATTTTATTGAAGATCACTCTGATCAATATGAACGGCAGATTTTCGATATCCTTATGAGCGTATGAGCGAAAAATAAAAATTTCATAACTTTCAATGCATATGTACACGTACTCATGTACCTTAAGCGTGGATAACGTACATCTCTGCACACACACACCCCTTACCCAGTACTAAAATATAAATAACAGCTCTAAATTTTCTCGAAAATATGTAATTTCCCCATCCATCTTTACGTTATTCTGTGCAATCAGTTTACGCTGTTTTGAACAATATGGTCATATACATCTATGCTATCTTTCTTAAATCCCCGTTTCAGGTCCATATGGAATGCATCAACATTCCTGTAGTTGTGATAAAAAAATTCCTTAATGCCAGTGATCATTGTCTCTAACACATATGTATATATACTGTCTTTCTCTTTCTCTCCGCATGTTTCAAAACAACATTGCCCCTTTCATAATCAATAATGATGTTGTGAGGGGAAAAAATCATGAATAAATCACAATGCTACGATAACTTTTAATTAAATTTGAACTACATGTATTAGATAAAGAATACTGCTTCCTATGTCTGAATTATTCCTGTTCATAATGAAAAATTTGACATCAAATTTTCCGTTTTCCGTTCCGCGTTTTAGCAAAACCCTGCTCGAAAAGGTATGACTTATTATCCGTTTCTTTTTCAGCATGTTCTTATTGGTACTGTCAGTTATTATTATAGTATTAAAAAACAGCAATGAGCAATCATGCTCTACCGTTATGTGACTTAGAACAAAACCTAAATACATGTATGCGTTCTTGACCTCTTCACTTCCCGGGTCAAGGTTCGCTACTTGACCTCTGCACGTCACAGAGTCAAGGTTAGCTATTTCACCTCTACATCTCCATGGATTATAAGGCCTTTTCTATTTCATTTTTTGTTATATACATGATGATTGTTGAATTTTAAATACATGAACCAATACAGACCCCTAAAACAGAGATGGGATCAGGTGCCAAAGAGGAGGAAGCATCCTCTATCTACCTATCACAACCGCCGTGAATTTCACAAAAATTCCTATTTTCAATTACCATTGCATCACCGTTCGTCAAAATAAAAAAAAAGATATAGAATTAGGTTTTGATATTTGAAATTAATAATTCAGAAAGAGCAAAGACCTTAATACTTCGATTTGTTATAATATAATTGCAATATTAAAAAGAATTTGCCAAACCCCCTTTTCTAAGGTAGGAAGGCTAACTATTCCTTGACCCATGGCCTTTTTAACATTTGTGAATGTAACAATACATGTACAAAAATTATTGAAAACAAATAAAAATTGTCTTTTTCCTTCCATGTGATAAAACTGTGATTTTCACAGAGGAAAAATGTGCAGGTTACTGACTTAGACTATGACCTTTCGTAAAACATCGAATACATCGATGTAAGGTCACCAAGTTTTATGATATTCCCACATTTGAAATATTTAGCTGATGTCCGGTAATAATCAGAAGCGAACACGAAATCGTAATTCCTGGAACAGATTCGCGGATACGGATCAGATTAAGGGCTTAGTTGAGCTTAAATGACTATTGTTAAATTAATATTGTATCTTTACTACAATATTTAGACAAACTTCCACGTTTCAGGCGTATGGGTAATCTTCCAATGAAATTCATCCTTACAAAGCACGTGCTTGTTGGGATAATTTTAATTAACCAGATCATTGATTTGCTGTTAGGGGGGATTGTCAATTGTAAACAAGTTCGCGTCATTTGGACTCTTTTTGAATTATTTAATATAGATTATCACCAATAAAGTTCTATCGATTAGAGTTATATTGATGATAAAACCGTCCATTCTTAGCTGGGTGGTAGTTTCATTTAAAACTAGTCGGGGGCGACTTCTGTTCGGATATAAATTGATAACCAGTTCAGATTCCGTGTTTTAGTTTATCCCTACATCGTTGGATGATCAGTAATTTTTTTAATTCCTGTGTCAAATTTCTACGTCAACATGATAATTGCAATTTTTTTCTAGCTCTTGAGATAACAAAGGATTGTGTTTTGTCACTATAACAGATCATATTTTTAACCAGACCAAAAAACTTTCTTAATTTAATTTTGTTAACGGAGAATGGTGTCAAAGCTGCTTTGGTTGCTGATATCTACATTCATATCTTTAGGTAAGTTTAAATCTCTCTCTCTCTCTCTCTCTCTCTCTCTCTCTCTCTCTCTCTCTCTCTCTCCTTTCAGCTATTGTACAGGTAGCTATAAATATTTTATTTAAGGACATACGCAACGTGGTTTGGAGTTTTTTTCTTAATTGAAGGTCTTTATGCGATTTCATGATCCCTGGTAATGCTGTACACCTCCTCTGAATAAAATATTTTAAAGAAATGCCAGCTAAAACTATTAGTTTTTTTTTTTAATCTTTAGAAAACATGAGGCTTTTCATTATTTTATATATGTCCAGAACCTAAGGGAGAGGGTAAAAATATAGGCTTTGCCTGCTGCCCAATCTCATTCACTTTTTGTGAAAAAAAATTAAGTATAGTTTAAAAAAAAAAACTCTTGGTAATATTTGCTGATTTTTGTCTGAAAACAACTGATGATTAAATGAAGAATACCTTGAAAAATTATCAGTGGGAAAGGTACGTTGTCCTGTACGTTACGTTTAACCTTAATGTTTTGAAAAAAACTTTATCACTTTGTTGTCAATGAATTAGGCCAATCCTTATGGATCATGTATCAAAAGAATAAAGTTTGGATATTAAGTCATAAACATAGTTTCATGTTTTCATGATCAATTACTATTTTAGGAGTACATATAGCCTATCATCTATGAGAAAAATGGTACTAAAACAATTGATAGAAACTTCTGATTACTGTGTAAAAAATATTTTTTTTTCTTTAATTTAAGGTGATATCTTTAGTATATACAAATAATTAAACTTTCGATATGAATATGTAATAAACGTTTTTAATATTTATGAATTTATTTTCTCCATATAGGCAAATACATGTATATATATTTTTTTTCATATGTCTATATTCTTTTATATTTCACTATTTTTCCCTTGAAACAGAAAAGCAACTGTTAATTATATGTAATTAAGATTTTAAAAAGTGTTTCTTTCATAGCCTATTGATTGTTTAGATGGTTAAAAGGGGGGGGGGGTATCCTTTAGTTCTTATTCCGTTAGTTATCTTCTCATGTGTAAATGATTTTGATTGAATAGACATAAACAGATCCTTTTATTCATTTATTAAGCAACTAAAAAAATTAATTAATATACAGTTGTAATTACTTTACTTTTCTGATTACAATAAAATAAAACCGATGACTTGAGCGACAATATTATTGAAACATAATTTTGATCAAGATTTATAATAATGCATGGACATATATATGCCACGGATAAACAAAAGACACTGTAATATTGCAGTAATTCATTTTCTACAGCAATGTTGCATGTGAAAAATATTCAGATGCAGATGTAGAAATTTTACAAAATATATGAAAATCTGCAATTTGTTCATTCGATTTAGATGAAAAAATGCTAATAATAGTAAAATAACAAACCTTTTTTTTTTTTAAATTTAAAATAACTTTAAAAAAAAGATTTATAAAACAACTGTGCACAAATCTTCATATGCCCAATAAATCCTTTGTTTTTCAAAATAAAATATATGTTCAAAGAAATTCGTTAACTCATATTTGTCAAGCGTTAACCACAGTTGTTGTTTTTTTTTTTTTTTTTTTTTTTTTTTTTTAAGTTTTGATCGGTATATTTCAATTAGATAAATGATATATGATTTTTTTACGCGGGGCGTAGCTGGGTTTGAGCACTTCAGGAGCATTGCTAGACATTTCCGGGGGAAAATAAACAATTTTCCCACCGTCTTTACTATTTAAATTCAAGACTTTTTACCGTTTTACAAGAGTCTGACCTCTCAATCATGGCACCGATTTTACCCGACTTCTCCAAACATTTGGGCCGATAACGTATGTATACAGCTTAGTTCACTGTTAGACAGTTTGATGTGACGTATGTATGAGGATGTAATCGCCTACAGAAAATCCAAACTATCGATAAATATTTTTTATTCTTTAGTACGTTCCTGTGTCAATGCATTTGTAATTTGCGAGTTGCAGATTTCTCTCTTTTTCTCTCTCTCCCCTTCTCTCTCTCTCTCAAATAAGCGTACATGTACCATACTGATTTTCCGTAAGTCAAACATCTTCATATGCCTCTTATTTCTATGGAAATTTAATTTTCTTTTCTCTAATTCTAATAAAAAAAATTCCCAGCGGGTCCCTTCTTCACGTCGGCCCTTTGATACGGAGATGTCTTGATTTGTAAAGGTTAATTGCAACGTTGTACTGGAGTCAAACAGCGTCATGTTTACGATCTCTTAAAATGGGGAAAAAATAAAATAAGATGGACGCAAAAAAAAACATAAAAATGGAGTGCAGCATCGAAAACTGAGTACTGATCTTAGCTATTTTTAGTTTGTTATGTTTGTAATTGTGATGTGAAGTAAACAACCTACTACAAAATATAAACTAAGTACTTCTCGTGTTTTAAAATTACACGATTGATGTTGAACATCATTAACAGCAGAAAAACAGATTGTCAAACTTAATTTTGAAAAGATTTTGCGAAAAAAATGTAATCTGACTATTGACTAGGAATTTCTTGGTTTCTGTGCAACCATCTTGTTTTCTTTTATCATTCTTGATTAAAATGTCGTGCTATAGCCGTGCAGTATTTTCAGCATTAACAAAATCATAATAAACTAACATTTGTCGTCAAATAAATTGAATCGATTATTTATCATATCTAATAAAAATCAATTACATTTTATTATTTTCTTGTTATTTTCTGATCGACGTATTCAGTACAATTTCACAATATATAAAATCTAGACGACTTTCACTTTTACAAGAGTTACTTCCCTTTGATGTGTAGTACCATACGTTGCCAATATAGGTATGATATAAAATGGTTTTGTTTGTTTAACGTCCCTTCGAGAATTATTTTTCACTCATACTGAGACGCCATCACTTGCCGGTTGGGCTGCAAATAGTCCACGTCCCGCAATGGGATTCAATTCGCGACGTAAGACTCATCTCCTTACTCCGCGACTCTAGAGCAAACGCCCAAACCACTGCGCCACGTATAAAAGTTTCAAAAGACTTTGAAATATTTTAAGTTACAAAGGTTATGGTGAAAAAATGGTTGTTACGCCGACGAAGGGAAATACATGTTACTCTTGCAAATTTATGCGAAATATGGGTGACCGTCTCTTATACTCGTAATGAATAGCCCCCTCCCCCTCTCTCTCTCATTTGAGAGGGATATGTTTAATATCTTTTCTACCTGTAATTGTCCAGGTCGAACATTTTTAACTTTGAAGCATACATGTACATGTACAGTTCTTTGTTAATTCCTTTTATCTGTGTCAATTTGTGAGTTCTGCAGTCAGAAAGAAAAGAAATTGAGATTAATCAAATGTGCGTTGCTATGTGTTGAATTGTGAGCTTAATTAGATATTCTGATAACAAATGGCGCCCCTTCTTTTGAAGTGAAGTTATTGTAAACATTTTACGCCGTTGTATTATCATCTTTGATTTCTGCACATCTGTTCAAAATTTATTATACAATTTTTGTTAAGGTTAGGCGACCACTGTTAAAATAGATAATTGATTAATCAGTATTTTACCTTTATAATATTTTTATTTTCAGTAAGACTTGTTTCAAAATACGACAATGTATATGTGTCGGAAAAATGGGAAAATTTGTTTCTACGCTTTTTTTATTTATCTATACAGGTTAATTCTTATAAACATTGTAGGACTTTTTAAATCGTTTGTGCAACATAGAGAATCGTTTGAACAATTCAGAAAATTGTTTGTACGATTTTGATTTTTTTCCCTACAATCTAATATATAACTAATCTGAAAATTTTGCAAAATATTTTCTTAATTGTATACTCGATTTATAAAACCGTTTAAATGATTCAAAATGTCATACAAATGGTTTTCTTTAATAACACATTCTTCAAAACTGCAGAAATGATTTAATAAGCGTTAATAAGAAATGATTTTCTAAATTGTTCAAACGATTAAAATTTATGCAAAATATTTAAAAATCAATCAGTTCATCAATGTAACAAACTCAACAGGTTTATATTTTTCCCAAACAATTAAATGTTGCTTCAGTGCTTCTGCAACCTGAAAGTCTTGTTCAGCCAAACCGGCCGCGGTACCCTGGTGATTTTGGTGTCTTCCCACTTAGCCAACATTTTCAAAAAAAATACAGGTAAAACACAGGTAAATCTATGTGGGAAAAGGATTTTTCAAAATGTTGGTTAAGTGGAAATTAACCGATGATTTGGCGCTCTAGATCTCTTCGTGATCAGGAGATCCTGGCACTATTTTTCGTTCCCGGTGGCGCCAACATAGAACGTTTAGCATTGTTAAGAAGGTTTTTATTCAAGCGCTCAGCATTAGATGTGAAACTAAAGGGTATATTTCGGATGAGACCTTAAACCCGAAGACCCATATGCTACAGCCGAAAACGGCATGTATAGGTTGAAATTGTTGACAAATATATCCAGACGAAATCTCTTAATGATTAAAAAAATTTCGGATCAATGGGAAGTAAAAAGAAGAATAAGAAATTTAAAAGTTTTCTTTCTATAATATTATATACGATTGAATGTTCTGAAACTGGCCTTTGTAATTGTACACCTATAAAAGTACAGTTCTTATTTATCAATTTTAACAATAATTATGATCGAAATGCTGACAGTATAATTTCAAATCAAGACCTCCGCTTTTTTTTAAGTAATTGAATTCAGAAGTGAATTCTTAGATTTAATTTTTTTGTAGGCCTTTGTACCCAAAAGAGAGCACTTCCGGATCCAAAATCGTTTGATGGAATGATGGCAGCCATTTCTTTACCCACAATGCAACAGGAGAACTTCCAGAGAATGTGCTTACAAAGTATGGAATTAGATTTTTTGTTCAAGTTCAGAAGTATGTAATGAGAAAAGTGTGTCACATCAAATACATATATTATTTTCCCTCTTTTAAAAATATGTCTAATTACTAATTAGGATGTACGAAAAGCTATTATTTAAATTCGGGATACAAACGAAATTCCCTTTGCCAATTTTATACTTTAAAAAGTCAAAAAAAAGTGCAAGTCTTACATAAAGATTAATAAGTAAATAAATGTTTTTGATCTTTTTAAACTCATGAAGAATTGAAAATCATCAAAGCAATTGATATGTACATTTATAAATAGACCTTAAATATCTTTTCTTTTAAATCTTTTTTATGCAAAACAAAATGTATTCCCCTAAGAGGAATTCATAAATCCTCCCCAGTAAATAAAACAGATTTAATTATAAAATAATTCTGAAAACAAAACTGTAACGTTACACGCAGTAGGACGTTAACTTATTTTGTATAATGCTTCGCTACAAAAAAAACCTGATAATTCCCTGCCTTTTTGTCAATGGTTTACAGACTGGGTTTACCCTCAATCAATGTTTGGTCTGGGGGGCAAATCTTTTTTATATCAGGTTTCTATTATTTCGTCAAGCTCTTTAGCGTAGCCATATCTTTAATTTTGAGTTCATATAGGATATTATCGAAAACTCCATTTAATTGATGCGATCAGGAACGGCAAATAAATGGACAATCGGAAAATTGAGACGCGCACAAAAGCCGCCAGAGGGCGTGTGATTGAACATTGATTGGATGTCAGTTTTCTTTGGCTCAGCACGTGCCCTTTTGTCTATAAATAGACCCCCTCTGTCATTTGTTACTTCTTTATATAGAGATTCAGATACATAAAATCTGGCACGAAAAATTTAATTTTTTTTTTCTCGGAGACAAGATGCCAAAAGATCAATACAAAAGTGAAAAATTAAAAGAAAAAAAATGGTGTAGACGCGCTTTCTGAGGTTTGGCTGACGAATTCTTATCTGATAAGAATACACACATTCAACACAGCCATTCAGTTACAGAAACTTTATTAGCATTTCAAACTATTTCCGTTTTGCTCTGCGTTAGATAGTTTGTGTCACCCTAATAACAGCTTATCTATTTGTACATTAAATACAGTGAACTGCAAAAGTGGAATAATAGATCCATAAATACCCAAGATCTCGTTCAGATCTCACGTAATTATGCTAATTCACTTACCAACAGATAGTTTTAAATGTGTGTAGACGATGGAATTCTCTTGTTAAATGTGCGTATCAGGCTATTCAAATCTAAATTATAAAATATTAACCCCATCACTGAAGATTTACGAAGGTGTAAAAATAGCACATTTATGCTCTATTTTGAATTACATGTAGTGCATGCTCGGTGTAAGTCATATTCATTTTCTAACAAGAGACCTATATGTTTCAATAATTCATTGCGTGATCTTAAACCACTTAGCACAACATTCTTAAATTTCGGTGCTTTTAATCTAAGAAATCTATGAAGTCAAAGCATAATTTTTAATGCTTGGTTTCAGAAAACTGCAACAATTATAAAGGGCTAAAAATTTCAGTTTGTGCTAGATAAATATAATTATGTAATGTTGTAAAAAGATATTTAGATTAATTATCATAAACTTTCCTATTTTGGAAATATAGGTAACGCATCTTAAAACAATGAAATAAACTTGCATCCTGATAGAATGTACAAGAATACAATATGGCAATGATTTTAACTATTCTACCCAAGTTAATGTTTTGAGAATTTATGACAAATGCCAATGACTCTTCTCTTCTTTCCTTTTTTCTTCTTTGCAAAACTGTAAATGAATTACTATGACCTAGTAGAATTTTTAATTTGCTGCAGATATACCAACACAGGTTTTACTTCGAGAAGTTTATACTAGGATGGGAAAGGAAGACGAGTAAGTACTCTCTCTCTCTCTCTCTCTCTCTCTAATACTTTGTCTGAGCATATCAAGGAGTAAAGTTGATTTAAATTGAGTTACATGGAAAGCTCTTCTGTTGCAATAATTTCATTCTCTCTCTCTCTCTCTCTCTCTCTCTCTCTCTCTCTCTCTCTCTCTCTCTCTCTCTCTCTCTCTCTAACGGAATGTTTTTGTTTTTTTTTTTCAGAATGAGCAAATCACTGCCCGATCCTGTTGACCCAGAATTACAACGGACATCACCTGACGATAGTATCATGACACAAAAACGTAGGGGAAGAAATAGAATTTCCGGATTTTACAGTAATTGGTAGAAAATCGTTGGAAATTTCTACTACTGAGAACAATGAATAACTCTATGTGTTTTATATGTATTTATGATGTATGCTCGTTAATTCATTGATGAAGTAAATGTACTACACTGCCCCAGCTGTTTGCTTTTATCTTATCATGTCAGAGAAACAAAGTAGATGGCGAAAAAGCTGAGAAAATGCCTGTGCTTGGAAAAAAGTAAACCACAACAAAGTGGTCTTTCATATAATTATGTGGATTATCGTATATAGATATATATATTATAGACTTTTTGTAAAATCTCTGAGATTGTACAATATAATGATACAATCTTATAGTGACCGCAGCGAGCTCTAAAAGCAAAAAAGTCTAAGAGAAAATTCGGACTGTGCACATTGATCCAAACGTGACGTCACAGTATAGACGTTCCAAATGTCTTCTGCGGTTTGAAGAGGCGGATCCAAGTTAAAACTGTATCCAATAATACGCATCTGTCTCGCCCTAACGGTCGCACCGTCAACATATTAAATAAAGAAAATCTTTAAAAATGTTGTTAATAACCTTAAGGTTTTAAATGAAGGACACTTATTTGTCTTACAGAATTAACCTACATTCCATTGAATAATGCCTTTATAATTAGTGTAGACCAAACACCGGAAGTGATAAAAAGAGAAGTAAGCGTATTTCGTTGTTTATTATATTTTATTAATGACAAATCTCTCATAAGACACAGTCACGCATAGGGCCCTATCAAACAACAACATTCTTACCAATGTACAACAAAAATAAACATCTCGCATTATATTGTCCGTCAAGAACGGTCAAAAACATGTCAAAAACAAAAGAGCGGATATTTCCGGAACCACGTATTTCCATTGTTTCACTTGTGTAACAATAAAACCTGGTTATCTGTTTTGCTTCGCAATTTTTACTAAAATCTAACAATATTGGTTTCTAGTATTTTATAGATAATAATTGATTATAGACCAGTAATAATATTGAGTAAGCACCTATATATAATAAATATAGATAATTAAGATACACTGATATAATTCAAAATGCACTTTCTTTTTCGTTCTCAGAATTCATGTATATCAAATTCTGCGAATCTGTAGGACAAAACCTACACAAGTCCAAAGTTGTAATAAATGTAGTATTTCCTTTTAAAATTGCGCTCCCAAAAATTACAAGTAATATAAAAAGCATTGGATAAGTGATAAATTTCAGTTATTATTCAGTGTTACCTAAAAATAGAAGTCTTTGTTTTATATATTGATGGAATTGATGTATTTCTTTCTGACAAGGTTTCATTTGACGCAGTATAAAAGGTCTTGCGCGTGACATATTACCACGAATGCACTTATCTTTATTCTGTCGTCTATCATTAATGGTCATTTTACCTATATCACTAGAGAGAACCACAACTATGACAAAAACTCTGCCCACTGGACATCAAACACTATGCAGTCATAAAATGGTTGATATAAACAGACGGAATGTACAAAAAAGTGCAGTCATTTATGTATAAGATCAATTAAGTTTTCTCTTTAGAATATCGGCCACAAATTTTATACGTGACGGCAAAATTTAAGATATTGTGCCCGTTTAGTCTCCGACAAAACATATATTAAATATCTTAATGAATGTGAAATCACTAAAATACAATTTTGACATGCCTGTGCATGAACATAGAGCGATTTTGAGAAATATTTCGCGGATTTCATTTTCATAGGTTGATAAAATTACATTATAGGTTACAATTACATTATATTGAGATTTTTTTTTACAGATTTTAAATTAATTTTCTCCCACTGACGACAATTAACCAGAAAAGAAGCTAAAAGAAAAAATGCATTCAGTGTAACCTGAATAAAAATCATACAGTATTGCACTGTAAAACTTTTAAAATCCTAAAGCTTCCACAATTGCGTGCATTACACGCCCTCTATTGGCAGGACCACGTGCTCTCCCTCCGCCGGCTCCACCTCGTGCCCCGGGACCAAGACCTAACTCAGCAGCTTCAGCAGGATCCATCATCAATCCAGCTAATCTTCCTAGATCCCCAAATCCTCCTCCTCCGCCTCGCCGTCGGCCACCTCCTCCCCACATTCCGCCTCCGCCTCCGGCACCCCATCCACCAGCGCCAGCACCACCCGCGCCTTGTCCCTGCTGACCTGCAGGAACATCGCCAGCTTCAGGAGCAAGGCCGAGCACCTCTTGCCATTGTCTTGACATTCTTCGACCACCTCCTCGTCCTCCTGCAGGAGGTCCCCATGGGTCTGGACCAGGCTGTGCCCAAGGGTCTGCCGCTCCAGCTGCACCACCAGCCCCTCCTCCACCACCTGGTCCCCAAGGATCGGCTGCTCCACCGCCTGCTCCCCATGGATCTGCACCACCACCAGCCACGTTCCATGGATCTGCTGCACCCCATCCGCCCACTCCGCCGCCTGCTCCGCCGCCGCCTCTAGCGCCAGGTCGTCTTCGACCAGCTGCTGGAGGATCTGGGGGTTCGGGTGCCAATCCTAACATCGTGATAAGCTGTTTGCTCATTGCAGTTTCCACTGCTCTTTGTACCGGATCAGGAGTTGTAGGTGGTGGTGGTGGTTGGTAATTTTGTTGGGAACCACCCGATGTAGTGTTGTTGTTATAATATGCATATTGGTTTTGTCTCTGTCGTCTTTGCTGTTCTTGTCGCTTTCGAATCTGACTTCTGTATCCTTTACCGACTATATATGGATCTCGTGGGTAGCTTCTTCGTCTTGGAAGCCGAAGGAATCGCCTCAGCTCTGGTAAAATGTTCAGAACAGCGGTACTTACAGATCCCTTGAGATGGGCAGGATTAATGTTCATCGATCTAAGGAAGTCAGCGCCAGTGGCATAAAGAAGTGTCATAATGGTTTGTTGATTTTGTCCCATTGAACGGATCATGCTTAACATGACGTTTCTGTGAAAAGAATAGATAGAATTTAAAACATATGGTCATGGAATTTAAATATGTGTATCTCATATTCTAGACCTGAAATGCAAATGAAAATATTTTGTTAAAAAATAACAAAGTTTACAATTTAAAACTAATTGCAAAATAAATAATTCTAAAAAAAAAAAATAGCTAATTCCATGAAGAATAGGAAAATATTACCTACGGAATAAGTATAAGTTTGAAAACCGGCATTTGTTTCACCTCTTTTAAAATCATAATTAAAGGCGTTTGATATCTAAATTTTATTCATAAATGAACTTTATAACTGAAAAATACAGATACTCTTCTTCTTGTTAAAAGTTGCCTACACTACATAATACTCATTCCTATTTGCCTTTTCTAGCAAATACCATTTCAAACCCCTTTGCCACACATCGAACTTACTTAAAGATATTGCACAAATAATAGATTTTCTAGTAAACATCCCTCTTCTTCTTTATAAAATAAGTTTGAAAACTTTACCGTCTTTACTCTTGATAACCTAACCTTCTAAATGCCCAGCCTCCTGAACAAAGTACTAGTATTCGTAATTTATATTGATATTAAATGATATTAAAACGTTATATCGTCAGTACCACAAGAATCTTACCTGGATATTGGATCCACAGACTCAGGGGTTAGATCCTTAACGTCAATAATGATTGGAGGTTCCGTGGGAATTGGAGTAGTAGTAGTTGGAGCCATAGTAGTGGTAGTAGGTGGAGGGACATTAACTGGAATATCGAACCGAGAGGACCCAACTTCAAGGAAATTATTCCACTTATTTACGTTGTTTCCAGTGGACTGAGAATCGATATTTATCTGGGTATTCATTGAGTTCATTTTATTAGAAGAGCTTTCTACTCCAAGACCCCAAGCAGCCTGGCTGGATTGTGTAGGAATCACTTGTACATTATTGGAAGACACTCCAGATTGTATCATATTAGATGAACTGGAAGAAAAGGAATTGGGGCCTCCAGATTGGAATGAATTGGTTGAATCGAATGTGTCAAATGTATTTGAAACGCTTGTCTTATATGATTTCGAAGCACCAATAGTGTCGAAGGAACTAGACGCGCTAACTGCATTGGACTTGTCAAAATTATTCACGGAACTGCTACCAAACGACATGGAACCACCCGCCGAAACGTCTGTGCCTTGTGATGATGCGTCAGATCCACTTCCCACTTGGAACCCTGATAGGGATTGAAGGTTGACGAAAGAGGCGTCCCAAGGGGTAGTGGCCTGTGTTGTTGTTGTTGTATGTCTTTTAGTGGTTGTGGGTGGTGGTGCGGCAGTTGTTAATGGTAATGGGGCTCTTGTGGTGGGCGCTGGTGTTGGGCGTGTTGTAAGCGGTCGTACAACTGGCTGTTTAGCCTCTTGAATTTTAATCTCTTTTGTTAAAGAACCAGCTTTATTTACTTGTTCATTCGAAGTTGTTTTTCCTTTGCTAGAGGAGGACGCTGAGATCGAGGTTGATGAAGAAGAGGATGAAACACTCTTTGAGGAAGCAAGGGAAGAGCTTGAAGAAGTTCCTGTATTTTCTAGGGAGTAAGCTGCATCCCAAGCCCCTGCTGAATTTCCAGTAGTGGATTCAATCGGCAAAGTAGAGTCAATGAAGGCACTGTCCCATGAAGAACCAGATGTCCCAGTTCCTATGTCCATTCCACTATTTGCTGTATTATCAAAGACATATGTAGTGTCCCATACATTATTTGCTGCTGTACCTAAGTTAGCAGTATCCATCATGAGATCAACGTTTCCTGTCAAAGCAGTGCTGCCCCATTCTGGTGCTATGTTACCAATTCCAATGGAATCAATCATACTGGCATCCATTGCTTGGCCATCTACAGCCATATTTCCCACGCCACTAATGTCCATAGCAGATCCACCTGCAATGTTGAAAGTAGAAGAGGAAATAGTAGATCCAGCGTCAACTTTTGTCTTTTCAAGTGCAGGTGCCTCTGTTTGAGGTGGCAATTGGGTGACAGTTTTAGCTTCCTTAGTGGACTTTGTTTGTGATGACGATTCCGATGGAACGTTTGCAGACTGGTCTACTATGGTATCTCCACGTTGTACTTCTATTTGAGTTGTTGCTATTTTATCCTTCTTCACATCTCCTTGCACAACTTCACTAGCAGAAACCAAATTAGATTCTGACTGAACTGAAGTTGACGAGGA